GGACCCCAAGGTAGGAGTTGGTTGGTTGGTTGGTTATATGCCATGGAGTTGGTTCTGACTCATAGTGACACTATATACAGTTTCTGAGGCTGTAAATTCTTCTTGGGGGCGGAAGGCTTTTTTTTTGGCCATGAAATAGCTGGTAGTTTCCACCTGCTGACCATGAATGAGTGAATCCTGGAATCTAGACAAAGAGGGTTAGAGACCTTGTGTCTGTCATTGTGTCAGCTGCTCCTCTGGTTGGAGGCAAATGCTGGTTATCAAATGAGTCTCCCAGATTAGAATGGCAATTTGTCCAACCATCTTTCCAAACACTCAACAGCTCTGTAAAAAAGAAACTGTACATAGACACCAATACACAAGAGGGGGAAAGGCTAGAAATAAAGTGCAGCAAGAATGATATCTAGAGACTGGACTTATAAATGATGATTCCTTTTTCTTTATACTTTCTGTAGTTTACAATGTTTTAGCAAAGATTCTCTAAGTCCTTTGTTCTCATACTAATCAGCATGCTCAATAAACGGCTTTGTGATCTCTAATTTAGACACTGGAATAAATTTACCCAACAGGAAGATGTGTTTTGCACAAAGGAACAAACCTAATAACCCTGAGCCGTTTACCTCCTCTGGCAAATTAACAAACTGCACAGGAGGTGCAAAACTAGGTCTCCTCTGTGTTGACCACAAAACACAATGCTGGGCTTTGCAGAGACCCCAAGTGGTCCCTGTGAGGCCCAGTCACCGGCAAGCTGGGTTTGCCTGTTGTTTAAAACAACCAAAGGAAGAATGCTGGAGCATGGATGGGAGGTAGCAGGCTGACAGGAGGCTGGGACACAGCAGTCTGAGTCCCTGAGGCAGAACCGTGCACCCATCTGGGACACTTCATTCGCCTAACTTTATGGATTGCACCACTGAAGAGGGGTGGGGGAGATGGCAGCCCATCTGGGGGCTCTGAGTGAAGTACCTGCCACCACAAGAAAATACACAGCAGTTATTAGGCCTTTCTGGGAAATTGAGTAATACTGCTATTAAAACCTTTATGATCTAAATATTTTATATGAATTCAATCACCTCCAGCTGCTATAATTTGAGAGCAATGAGGAAGGTAGGTAGAAGCAATAATAATGATTTAAACCCTCAACAGATTTAGTCTCTGGGGAAAGTATAAGGGCTGATTCACCCATGAGGTCTGAGGGCCTGAACCCTGACATTCTGCTGTGGTTGACATATGACAACTCTAGTACCTCAGGGGCCAGGGTGGGTCTAGGCAAAGCCACAGCCTGTCCTGTTTGAGCCTCCCGATACCACCCACCCTGAGAGGTCAGTTCCCCCTCTGCCTCTCTTAGCATTAAAATGAGGGCCACTAACTATCCTGAGGAGTCCTGGTGTGGTATCCTGGGTTAATGTGCTGGACAGCAAAGTCAGTTTGAACTGAAAAGTCAGCAATTCAAGCTCACCAGCCATTCCTTGGAAGCCCTAAACAGGGTCGCTATGGGTCAGAACCGACTCGACGGCACTTAACAACCACCTGTCCTGTGTCCCTAAAGTGAGCTTCATTCTTTCACTTTTGAATTCACCCAAACCTCTATTTTTGCGGCTTAGAAAATGATAATACGCATAAATAGAGGAGATGTTTCTCTTCTGCTTTTAAAGCAATGCTTAATAAATACTGTTTTGCATTTTTTTCTTTTTAAATCAAAGTAAAAGCACCAGGTCTTTAACTACAGACCACTCCAGGCATTTTATAGTTTACAAAGCCTAGCCAGCTTAAACGGAGGAAGTTATAAATAATTAATGGCTCAACTATTGCCCTTTTAAGCCTTTATTCCAGCTCTCACTATGAGTCTGAGTATCCTGGGAGAGACATTTTCAGTTTGGGGACATGAAGGTAGCTCAGTGCTGATGTGAGGGTATTCTCTGCACACAACAACCCCATCCCCTCCCTTGCTGTTCATTCCAATGGCTTTCAGAGTCACTCCATAGCAACCTCAACATGCACTCTGAGAATCTGCAGTTCATCATCAACTCCGGCCTGAACTGCTCCCACGGTGTTGGTACGGACTATACCAGTACTGCAGCACCAGCGGCAGCAGAAATCCCACCACGGAACCAAGGGGGCATCGGATCAGGACAGCTCCACATGCCAGCTTCTGTGGGGCATTTTCTGAAGCTTCCTGCTCCATGAGGTGTCTGCCACCTTAGGAATTCAAAGTATTGCACTGCTCCTAACTTCCTAGCAAGGAAACAGAGCCCTTGGTTTCCCTTTCAGGGTGCAAGACTTCCCAGGAGAGCAACCAGATTCATTTCCTCTCTGCCCCACAATGCAGGATTTAAGAAGCTACTTAAAATATCTGAAAGTTTTGGTTATTTTTTAAATAAAATTCACAGTAGAAAATGTCTCTCTAGGGCCCCTCATCACCCGCATACACGACTCATTTGTGCAGTTCCATTTTCTAGCACACTGGCTTCTATTAATAAAAGAGATGAGCAACAATAGCTTCTTTAGATCCACTGCAAAATACCTATTTCCAACCCGAGTTCTAATTTCATCTGAAGCACTACCAAAGGTGACAAATGTCAAGGACTCACAAAGCCCACCGACTTTGTCTCTGCTGTTTTATTCTATTTTATTTCCCCTGCTCACTTGAAAGGACCGCGTTTGCAAAGATTTTTATGTGTTGTTCCACTATGACACAATCTCTCCTTTGGGACAGGGAGTTAACTTCCACTCTTGGGGGGAAAGGAAGAGCTAGGCTCTTTGTCAAAGATGTCTTGGTGATATGAGTCAGAACTGACTCAATGGCACTTAATAACAACAACATATACACTTTATGGAAGCCCAACAAGATGGTCCATAGATCTCTGGCAGGGGCTGCTAATTTTAAGGCTGGCAATTCAAACCTACCCAGTGATCCCATAGAAAAAGACTCAGTAATCTTCTGCGGAGGTTGTTGTTTTAAGTGCCACTGAGTCAGTTCTGACTCATAGCGACCCTGCATAGGGTTTCAGAGGAGCGGCTGGTGAGTTTGAACCATGGATGTTGTAGTTAGCGTTTCCAGGACAGCCAAGACAACCCAATGATACTGTTCCACTCTGTTGTTAACACTCATGTGGTCACCGTGACTCAGGATGGGCTGCGTAACAATGAGTTTATCAGGATCTTCCACCCAATTTCAATTTCCCCTCTGCCTGGCCCCTCCCCTGTCTACAGCACAAGGCGTGGTGCTCTTACCGGCAATTCTGTGCGCTGACTTTTTCTCCACCGTCTTATTCTCCTTCTTAGAGTCCTGCAGGGTGATGGTCTTCTCCAGTTCTCCCAGGCTCGCCAGAGACGGTGTGGGTGGATATGGGAGGGTGAGGGCCTGAAGAAGGGGCTTTCTGGGCAGGGGCGGTTTGGAGCTAAGCTGCTCCGATGACCGGGCCTTTACTTTCCCCTGGTCATTCAGGGACCGGGCTCCTCGAGTATTGGGGGTTGCCCCAATTTGACATTTTTCATCTTTGGAGAGCAAAGTGAGTCCTCCTTTTTCTAACCTGATCTCAGCACTGTATCTTTTTATACCTCTCAGTTCTGAAGAAGAGCCGTCTCTGTATTTCAGAGACAGAGAGGTGGATCGGAGCTTGATGGGGAAGGGATTTCTGTCCTCACAGGGGGCCAGCTCCTGAGTGGCTGGACAGGGGTCTTTTGTGGCTGGTATGGTTGCCCCATCCTGGGTGCTCCTGTCCAGTAAAGCCTGGTTGGCCACCTGATCCCCTGAGTCCTCAGAAGCACACTCCACTGGTGACGGTGGCTTCTGAGGGTCCTGTTGTATGTTGTGGGGCTCAGGAACCACCTGGAGTTCATCGAGGGCTGCCTCGCTCTTCCAAGCCAGGCTACTCTTCAAAAGGGGCAGCCGGACAGTAGGGGGACCCCCAGGGCTGGGCTGCTCCAGCAGGCGGGCACTGTTTGTGCGTAGCCGTGCCCTGCAAGAGGACACAGAGAACTTCTTCACGCTTGCCATCTCATTGCTTCCTCTCTCTGTTTTCCGCTCTGGAGGTGCTCTCGTGGGACCCCCCTGTAGAGACTCTGAATGGTCAGTCTTGGGTTGTTCAAGGAGGGAGACCTCTTTGTCCTCCCCGGGAGGAGACTCCGAGGCAGGAGGTATTGGGGACATGCTGTGGCTCACACTCACTGACAGGGCTTTGTGCTTCAGGCAACTCTTGGGGACCTGTGGGCTTGGGGCAGGGGCCACAGAAGGTTCTGTCCCTGCTCCCTCAGGACTGGGCATATCCAGGGGCAGTTCCACCTCCTTCTGGATACATTGATCAGGCCCATCTGGACTGGAAGGCATCTCCAAGGTGGTGACAGTGATAGTCTCTGGAAGTACCACGTTCTCCTCGGGGACACACACAGGTATTTCACTTTCGCTGTCACGAGAAGCACAACACACCTCATCCGCTGTGTCTATATCCGGGACACCCACGTCTGGAATGGACAGCTCCTCCCTCTGCTCTTCATTGTCAGGGTCATGGTGTGAAGAGCATTCTGGTGGCGACGGGGGCTCCAAGCAGAGGGCTGGACCTGACTCGGGCTCGGTGACCTCTGGGGTTTCCAGGTGACCTGGGGGCTCGTCCGCAGGTAAGCTCTCCTCTTCCATACTGACACTGAGTGCCGGGCAGTGCCGCAGGCGTGCCCGCCTCGCACGGGTTCCCCCGGGTAGCAGCATGGTAGCTGGCTCCCCTGGCTCAGTGCCCCTGTCCGGCTCCAAACCCTGCTGCCTAGAACTGGGGTTCTCCTCCATGCTGACTTTCTCACTGTGTTCCTCTTCCTCAGGGGTACAGGTCAGATCACTCAGGGATTCAGACTGTGCTCGCTACGAGAAAGGATAAGGACAAAAGACGTCAGCCTTATACTGGATTTTTGGAAGCCCGTGGCAGCCCCCTTTTTGTCCAGGTGGATTATGATCTAAAGGAAATGGCATCTCTGTAAAAGCTGACATTCAAATAGACAGTCACAGTATCTTTTCATAATCCTTCCTTTACTGGTCTCTATGAAACCCTGAACCACAAGTTTAGTTTTCAGCAGGAAAGTGGTAGCTGTGCCCTAAAAATAAATATTGTCTGTGGCTACTGGTGGTGGTGTAAGTTAGGCACTGGATTGCTAACTAACAAGTCAGCAGTTCAAATCCACCAGCTGTTCTTCAAGAGAAGGACGAGACTCTCTGTTTCTATAAAGTTGTACAGTTTTAGAAACCCTATACTGGGTCACTAGGAGTCAGAATGGGCTCGGTGGCAGTGGGTGTGACTTTTTGGTTGGCTGCCAGGGTGTCTGTGGGTGACATACATGGTTAAGTGTTCAACTATACTAACCAAAAATGAGATTGAACTTAAAAAAATCTCATGACAGTGTTGTTGAGTGTCACTGAGCAGGCTTCAAATTCTGAGGAGTGGCTGGTGAGTTTGAACCACTGGCCTTGTGGTTCAAACCACCCTTAAGGTCCAGCACTTATCCTACAGCACCACACCAGGACTCCTGCCATTAGACCTTAGTTAGTACCCAGCTGTGTGTATGCACAAGCTCCCACTTTTCCTTGTCATGGTGGGGAATCACAACACCCTCAAGCTGTCACTCATTCTCATGTATTATTATATTGAAATGATCAGTCAGCCCTGGTGGTGCAACAGGAAAAGCACTGGACTGATAACCACAAGGTCAGCAGTTCAAACCTTCCAGACAGATGAGGTTGTCTGCTCCTATAAAACTTACAGCCTTGAAAAACCAGGAGTGGGTTTATACAAGGGTTTGTTTGTTTTGTTGTTGTGATTTTACCATCTCCAGCTGGCATCTGCTTGCTAACAAAACACAGCATGACTGGGATGTTTGCAACAATACTGACAGTAACTTTTGCCAAAATGCACAGGCCTCTTTGTTTGGATTTTAAAAGAGGAATATGTGTAAATAAGTTTACAGACGATGTTTCAAAAGCTGCAGATTCTTGACTTAGCTTCAACATTGGGCTTTTGCTCCTATTGAACACTGTTGATGCTGAAAGCTCTTTAGGGTGTAGGTCCTGCTTTACAACTATCAACCCTATTAACCATGAAATCCACATGGAGTTGGCAAGAAGCTAAGGTGTATGCCCTGCCCGGGCACATCACAACTTGAGCACCTGGAGCTATAAGGAAATAACCTGGAAGGGTCAGTCCTAGGAGGACCTAATGAAGATCAAGGTTGGCATGGAGTGACCCTTCTGTGGGTGGGCACAGAAGCTGGCAGGGGCCTTGAGAGGAACAAACCAGTCCTGACTCAGGCCAAGTTCTGTGGCTGTGTACAATCCCCACAATTCCTGGATGTGTTGTGCTCACTCCATGTCTCCCCGTCAACTCCTCTGGGCCCTTGCGTGGCTCAGATTCTGGACTCTTCCCGAGGAAGCAGACACAGGAAGACCAAACTGCTCAGTGTGCACCAAGATGTAGTTGCTACCTTAGCTGCCTGTTATCTGCTCCGTCTCTCAGATGATCCTTCATAGCAAACTCAGACTGATGTCCTTCTGAAAAGATCATTCCTATATGTTCATGTCACACTTCTCCTCAAACACAACCAAAATGTTCAGTAAGCTCCACGCCATCTCTGGACAGAGAACACTGCCTGTGTGTGCCGGGTTGAGAGGAGATATCGGTCTCAGTCTGAGACCTAACTCTTGTAGTTGGAGGCTCTGCCTGCCATGGGATCTCCAACACTCAACTAATTTTGGAGTTCCTAATGTGGTGCTGTGGGTTAATGTGCTAGACTGCAAAGTCATTTGAACCTCAAGGTTGGCAGTTCAAGCTCACCAGAAACTCCTCAGAAACCCTATACAGGGTTGCTATGGGTCACAACAACAACAACAACAACTAACAACAACAACCATAAAAAGGAGTTAATAATACCTGATTTCTGGCACTGCCCAGGTTGGAATGAAGAACAATGGTTGTGGTGTTCAGAATGCAGGCTGTGTAACACCATGAATCACATGGGATGTTGGTGTAAAACGTTTATGGGCATTCCACGTCTACTGTGTAACCACACACAAGGCATACATAGTCCTGTGAGGTAACAAGAAGAGTTTCTCTATCTCAACCTCTACTTGGGGTGGAGGGAGACGGATTCCACCAAAAGTATTCTAAAAGGTGTTTTTCAAACTCATCAGAACAAGGTTTATTACCATGAACGAGACTTATAAAGTCAAAGTCCCCCTACAGCTCTCAAAGATCCTGAGCATCTGATACAGAGCTGGAGAAAGCCTGGCCAGATGGTCTGCCAAGATGGAGAGAAGAAGCTGGGTAGCAGCAGGTGAATGGAGAGGCTGAAGTGAAGACACTGAGGAGTGCCTGAGCCTCTGGGAGGCAATGGGAAAAGAGAATACAGACAGTATGGGGCTCGGCAAAGAGAGAGAAACGTGGGCCTCATGCTTCATGAAACCTGGAAGGGCAGCGAGCTTCCCTGGGACGTTCCCAGCGGCAGGAAGGAAGTGGACAGGGTAGCAACGCAGCTCTTTCTGGCCATCAGAGTGGGAGGAGAATATCTGAAAGCATCCTGGGTTCTTAAGGGGGGGGCAGGGAACCAGGAAGGCCTCATAGTTGGGAGGAGGGCCTCATGTCTAAGGGGCAAAGGATGCTGGGGATGCTTCAGGACAGAGACCATCAACCTTAATTCTAACAGTGGGTGTGCTGGAGATGGCACTAAGTGTGGGAGGACACTTGTGAACACTGGTCAGGTGTGAAAAATATGGGCAACTCTGAGAACAACAGCTATCCATTCTTTGGTGTTTCAAGCAGGTTCCAGTTCTGGCCAATGAGCCTCACAGGCAGGCATTCCCCATCTGTCAGTGGAAGTTAGCCCGTTGTTATGAAGCAGAACTTCCTGGTTCAGGCAGACGAAGAAACAAGGCCTGCTGATCTACTTCAGAAAACCAGCCATTAAAACCTCAGTTAGATGTGCTGCTGATGGTGGGATTGGCGCAGGATCTGGAAGAGCTTTGTTCTGCTGTGTGTGGGGTCACCATGAGTTGTGGGCTGACTCAGTTATTGCCCAAAACAACAACATCCCTACCAACAAGGGAAGGGAAAAAGGGAGGGGAGAGATATAGAACTGACAGTTTAAATCAAGGAACAAATGAGTTTCTCAAGACTGCCTAAATCAGATTTTCTGCTATTTTAGAACACTAGAAGAGCTAAGTCGAGTTCAAAATTAAAGGAAGCGATGCACAATTTGATGAAGATAAACAGTGTCACTAAGATGTGCACAAGGAAAAAGGCCATTTTGGTAAGTGCCACAGGAGCTCTGGTAGCCTAGTGGTTACGAATCGGGCTGCCAACCACAAGTTCAGCAGTTTGAAACTACCAGCTGCTCTGTGGGAGAAAGATGAGGCTTTCTGCTCCTGTAAAGATTTACAGCCTCGGAAACCCTGTACAGGGATCGCTATGAGTTGGAACCGACTCCACGGCACATAACAAGAACAAATATGTATGTAGGCGTATATGTGTACAGATATGTATATGTGAACAAATATATGTGTGTGTTTATAAAGGCGCATGCATATAAGAATATATGTGTGGCACTGTAGGATCAGCACTGGACTGTGAACAACAGGTCAGCAGTTCAAACCCACCAGGTGCTCCTCAGAAACTCTATACAGGGTCACTATGAGTTGGAAATGACTCAACAGCACACAACACCACCACACACACAGACATGAATATTCATATGCATACACCTACATAAACTACAAACATGTATGTTCACATATACATATCTGGACACATATGTTGTTGTTATGTACCTTGGAGTCGGTTCTGACTCATAGTGACCTTGTACAGGGTTTCCGAGGCTATAAATCTTTACGGGAGCAGAATGCCTCATCTTTCTCCCGTGGAACAGCTGGTAGTTTCGAACTGCTGACTTTGAGGTTCACGGCCCAATTCGTAACCACTACGCTACCAGAGCGCCTTGGTTGTTTTGCTGCTGTTACAAAACTGTATGTGTAGTGTTGTTGTGGTTGTTAAGTGCTGTCGACTTAGTTCTGACTCCTAATGACCCTGTATAGGGTTTTCAAGGAGCAGCTGGGGGGTTTGGACTGCTGACTTTGTGGTCCGGTGCTGATCCTACAGCTCTGCACATATATGAGTCTATAATAAAGCAATAGGGACACAGTTAGGGCTATTTCTGAGGCATAATCAAATACCTCACAATAATGGTCTTCTGGGTTTTAAGGCTTAGGACCACAGTCTCGTGGGACAACTTGGTCACAGTGTTATAACCTGGTTCACAAGCTATGTTCTACATCCTAGTTTGGTGAGTACTGTCAGGGAACCTTGAAAACTTGCAACTGGCCATCTAAGATACAACTATAGTCTTTACTCCTCAGAATCAAAACAGAAAGGAGGAAAACAGAGACTGAAAGAAGAAACCAGTCTCCAGGGCTAATGGTCTAACAAACCAGAAGAACCAGTCTGGCTACCACAATTGTGCTGATTATGGCCACAATCAATGACAGATGAGAGAAAAATGTAGACCAGAACCTCAAATTCTTCAAGAATCCAGACTTACTGGACCAGTAGAGACTGGGACATTCCACAAGACTACAGCCCTAAGATAAGATACTCTTTAAACTTTGCCCCTGGGTTCTTTTAGCTCAATAACAGGTTGGCTTACAAAATACAGAATATCACTGTGCTCCTTCCTATGTGTGACCAGATAGGCAACAATTTCTTTAAAATAAAGATGGGAAGGCCAGAGGGGCAGAAAACTGGATTCATGGAAACGGAACAACCAGAACAAAAGGATGCCAATGTTCACGATGTACCCGACATCAGTGAACAATTTGGGTAGAAACTATTGAATGGGAACCTAAGCTGCTATGTAAACCTTCACCAGAAACACAATAAAACAGTATTTAAAAAAAAAAAAAGAGTAAAGAAGAATGGAACAGCTCTGCCTAGGGGCAGACGATGACGGATGCTATTTTTCCATCTGGAGCGTCAGGCTTCCTTCTGCTCCCATCTTGGCCTGGTTGTGGCTGCTTACACACTCCCCTGCCTCAGCTAGACATTCCCCTGGGAAGAAAGCAGGCACCCAAGGGTCCAAAGTATTCTGCCTCCATCCCAGGCCCTGGGGATCAATTCAGCATGAAGACACAGAGATGCTCAGAGTTAGTGGACCACGTGAAGTTCCCAGAGCATATGTACCCACACCCCAGCCTCGACCTTGGACCAAGATACGCAGCCTGGAGGTAACCTCCACCTTGCTTCCTCCCCCAGCATGAGTGCCCCTCACAGCTCAGCACTGCTCATGGGAACTTACGCAGCACACTGGGCATGCCTAAAGGAAACACACTCCATAAGAACTCCTGGAAACAGCTTGCCTTTCAGGTTAGAATCCCACCCCTTCTTTAAGAAAAATATGATTTCATTTGGAAGAACTGAACTGCTGAGAATTTCAATAGCCAGAAGTTACCTTGGATCAAAGCTGTCCACTTGAACTTTCTGCACTGCCAAAGGCGGAAGCCACTGGCCACAAGGCACCTGAAATGTGGCCAGACTGAAAAACTGAATTTTTAACTTTAAGTCAAATGAAAATTTAAATTTACTTAAGTAGCCACGTGTACCCTTTACTCCTCACACATAGCTAAGCCGGCCTCCTGAGCAGAGCTTTTCTCTTCACACCCCACTAAACCAAGGCCTCTTGTTACTGTCCCCATCAGCATCTGACCTGTCCCTGCAGCTCTTCCCACACAGTCAGCACATCCGTAGGACGCTTTGGTAGTCTCCCTCGCTAGTCTGCAAATGCCTGAAGGGTGGGCCTGTGTCTGCTTTGCTTACATTGCATACCCAGAGCCCGACTCAATGAATGTTTGCCAAGTGAATAAAGGGAAGAGGACAGGAACATCTTCTGGAGGGAAAGGCCCTGTAGGCACTGTCACCAGAAGAAGGCAACATGTGAATCGCTCACTTATTGGTACCATGAAGCCAAAGTCTTCCACAAACAAGGTCCTTACCCAAAGCGGTAGCTACTCTAGTATTTAACATCTGCTTTTATCATTCATCCATTTAATCTTTCAACCAAAGTTTACTGACTATCAGCCCTGGGACCACAGTTGCTCTGGGGCTAGAGGTACAGCTGGGACAAGGTCTCAAAGAAGACTGGCAATAGACAAGTGAAGGGCTAGATGCACATGCATGGAGAGCATTTGCACGTGTGTGCAGGAGCTCTGTGAAGGAACTGAACACAGTGACAGGGAGATGGGGGGCTACTTTCAGCAGGATGGTCAAGGTGAGCCTCTGGGGGAAGACCTCTGAGCTGCAACCTGAAGGCTGAGACCAATCAGTCCTGAGGAGAGGAAATGGCAAGTACAGTTAGCAGAGTTCAAGGAACAGAAAGGAGGGTCATATGGTCTGAGTGTTGTAAGAGGAAGTCAGATGGGTGGGCAGAGCCAGATCATGCCAGGCCTTGAAGTTATGGTGAGGAGTGAACTTTACACTGACAGCAACTGGCGGACCACAGGCACTCAAGACACCCACCTTCCTGCTGTCGAGTTGGTTTTGACTCACAGCAACCCTATAGGACACAACAGGACTGCTCCCTGGGGTTTCAGAGGCTGTAAGCCTAAGGAAGCAGACTGTCCCAGCTTTCTCCCAAGGAGCAGCTGGTGAGTTCAAACCACTGACCTTCTTTTTGATTAGTAGCCCAAAACTTAACCCACTGTGCCACAAGGGAGCTTCTTAAACCCACAGTGAAGTCTTATACTAGGTGTCTGCAGAGAGAGTGAATGAATAAATTCAGTGTGTACACAGGGGCATGATACATGGGATTTGCATTGATAAAGGCAAGCAACTCCAGTCAAGCCCCGCCCCCCCACCCCACCCCCCAGCACGGGCCAACAAATCATGGGTCTGTGCTCAGAGGGGCCATGGGACCCAGGTGAGAGAAGGCAGAGGGGCTGCCAGACTACCGCCTTGCCCCTGCCCAATTACCGAAGACAGCCGCCTCATTTTACTTGACCGCTGGTTGCGAGGCTTCACCAGGAGCTTGTGCTTGGCTGCAGAGTTGTCCAGGCAGGAGGAAAATTCTGGAGGGTAACTGAAGTCAGCCATGGGTGCGATGCTGCTGTCTGAGGTCCGAGGGGATACTGAGGTGTCACTCACATGGTCCAGAGATAGTGGCTGTGATGAAGAAACTAAAGAGACCTTCACAAGGAAAAAACATGCCAAGCATTAACTTCACAGTGTGAGATGGGTACAACCAAGCCATCAACTCTTCCCTTTAATTGGGCTTAGTCTTCCCACACTGCCTTTGGACTTCACTTGTAACATGAAGTCATTTCTGATTGAGACAGTTCTGATCCACTTAATTCTGTACAGCATTTCCAAAGAGCGACTGGTGAACTTGAACCACCAACATTGTGGTTCAAACTGATTTTGCAGTCCAGTGCACTATCCATAGCGCCATACCAAAACTCCATGTGTGTATGTGTTTTGTGTGTGTGTGTGTATACATATACGTGTATATATATATATATATATATACGTATATGTATACACACACACACACAAAACACATACACACATATATTTGGCATTGTTATGTGCCATGGAGTCAGTTCTGACTCATAGCGACCCTGTACAGGGTTTCCGAGGTTTTCGAGGCTGTAAATCTTCATGGGAGCAGAAAGCCTTATCTTTCTCCCATGGAACAGGTAGTTTCAAACAGCTGACCGTGAGATTAGCAGCCCAATTCATAACCACAACGCTACCAGCAATAATAACATATACATTCATATGTATACATTTACATATGTTTATACACACATATCATTAGTGAAAACAAGGGCCAAGGTCTGTGAACAGACCATCCATTTCTCATATGCAAATTCAAACTGAAGCTGAAGAAAATGAAAACAAGTCCACGAGAGCCAAAATATGACCTTGAATATATCCCACCTGAATTTAGAGATCATCTGAAGAACAGATTTGACACATTAAACACTGAAGACCGAAGACCAGAAGAGTTGTGGGATGACATCAAGAAATCATACAGGAAGAAAGCAAAAAGTCATTGAGAAAACAACAAAGAAGGAAAAGGTCAAAACGGATATCAGAAAAGACAGTGAAACTTGCTCTCCAGCAAGTTTAGTAGAGATGCTAAGGCAAATGAAAGAAATGAGGAGGTCCAAGAGCTGAACAGAAAATTTCAAAGATCAGCTCGAGAAGATAAAGCCAAATATTACAATAAAATGTGCAAAGATGTGGAATCAGAAAACTAAAAAGGAAGTATACACTCAGCATTTCTCAAGCTGGAGGAACTGAAGAAAAAATTCAAGCCTTGACTTTCATTATTGAAAGATTCTCTGGGCAAATTATTGAATGATGCAGAAAGCATCAAGAGAAGATGGAAGGAATACACAGAGTCACTGTACCAATAGGAAATGGTTAATGTTCAACCATTTCAAGAGGTAGCATATGATCAAGAGCCAATGATACTGAAGGAGGAAGTCCAAGGTGCATTGAAGGAAATGGCAAAGAACAAGGCATTAGAAATTGATGGAATAAAAATTGAAATCTTTCAAGAAAGTGAGGCGGCACAGGAGGCACTCACTCATCTCTGCCAAGAAATCTGGAAGACAACTATCTGGCCAACTGATTGGAAAAGATCCAGATTTGTGCCCATTCCAAAGAGAGGTGACCCAACGGAATGCGGAAATCATCGGGCAGTCTCTTTGATATCCCATGCAAGTAAAGTTTTACTAAAGGTAAGATAAAAACAGCTACGATCATACATTGACAGAGAACTTGCAGAGGTTCAAGCCAGATTCAGAAGAGGCCGTGAAACGAGGGATATCATTGTTGATGTCTGATGGATCTTGGCTGAAAGCAGAGAGTATCAGAAAGATGTTTATCTTTGCTTTATTGACTCCGCAAAGGCTTTCGATTGTGTGGATCATGACAAGCTATGGACAACATTGTGAAGTATGAGTATTCCAGAACACTTAATTGTGCTCATGCAGAACCTGGACCTGGACCAAGAGGCAGTTGTCCGAACAGAACATGGGAACACTGAATGGTTTAAAATAAAAAAAGGTGTGTGACAAGGTTGTATTCTTTCACCATACTTATCCAACCTGTATGCTGAGCAAATAATCTGAGAAACTGGGTTATATGAAGAAAAACGTGGCATCAAGATTGGAGGAAGACTCATTAACAACCTGCGATATGCAGATGATTCAATCTTGCTTGCTGAAAGTGAAGAGGACTTAAAAACATTTACTGATGAAGATCAAAGAGCACAGCCTTCGGTATGGATTGCATCTCAATGTAAAGAAAACAAAAATCCTGATCACTGGACCAATAAACAGCATTCTTATCAATGGAGAAAAGATTGACGTTGTCAAGGACTTCATTCTTCTTGGATCAACTATCAACACTCATGGAAGCAGCAGTCAAGAAATCAAATGGCATATTGCATTAGGCAAATCTGCATTAGGTACGACCTTTTTAAAGTGTTGAAGAGTTAAGATGTCAGCTTGAGGACTAAGGTGCGCCTAACCCAAGCCATGGTATTTTCAATAACTTCATATGCATGTGAAAGCTGGACAGTGAATAAGGAAGACTGCAGAAGTATTGATGCTTTTCAGTTATGGTGTTGGAGGAGAATATTGAAAGTGCCATGGGCTTCCAAAAGAACCAACAGATCCATTCTGGAAGAAATGCAGCCAGAATGCTCCTTGGAGGCCAACTTGGCCAAACTTCGTGTCTCATACTTTGGACATATTGTCAAGAGGGACCAGTCACTGGAGAAGGATATCATGTTTGGTAAGGTGGAGGGTCAGAGAGAAAGAGGAAGACC